TTAGCCAAGTAGCTTGTTCTCAGTCCTGGGCAACTTTGTCCCTTCGCCTGGCCTTTGCTCACTCCTGGAGCAGCCTGCCTTTGGCCTGATCCCTAGTAAGTGTTCTTCCATGGATTCCATTTATACAAACTCTCTCTCTCTTCTTCCCTCCTTCTCAGCTCAAACATTCTGAGCAGGTATACTAGGAAGAAAGGAGGCAGAAAGAGAAAGAAAATCAAGAACCCATAATTGGTCATAGCAGCTCTGCCTCCTAGGGGAGAGTTTCTCTTTGGCATAGACTTTTATTTAGTAAAACACATCAATGTGACATTGAATAAAAAAAAGCTAGCCTCGCCAGGCCAGCATGGCTCAGCGGCTGAGCATCGACCTAAGATCTGGGAGATTGCGGTTCAATTCCTGGTCAGGGCACATGCCTGGGTTGCAGGCTCCATCCCCAGTCGGGGGCGTGCAGGAGGCAGCTGATCAATGATTCTCATTCAGCATTGATATTTCTCTCTCTCTCCCTCTCAAATCATACATATTTAAAAAATAAAAAAGCTAGCCCCAAGTCAAACAGACCTAGTTGTTCTGCATAATAAAGTAAAAATGTTAGTCTTTCCTGGATTAGCTTTTCCAAGTGGGGAGAAGTCAGTGAGAAAGAAAGGAGCCCAGAAAGATGAGATGATTGGCTTCATGGGGAGGGGATGGGAGGGAAGGGATGATCCTGTAGCTTTTTCAAAATGAAGTCTAATATCCCACTTTAAGGCATAGTCTGAGTGTTAACCCAAATATGCCCCAGAGTCTGTCACCTGCAGAGTGTGAAGAAATCAGAGTGGCGCCCAGTGTGAGGTGGGTGATGTGTATGGAACATGAATGAGATGCGTGGAGGTCATCCTGAATCCACACTCAAGTAGTAGATGCTGGAGCTTTAAGGTAAGGGGTGCTGTGGAGAACTGAGGGATCCCCCTGAAATCCCTGGAAACAGTGAAGTGTGACATGGAGGTGTGTGGGGAACGGGTGTGCAAATTAAATCCTGTCTCAAAGGATGGGGTGCCCAGGCTGACGGACGATCACAGAGAGTTCAGGGGATTTCACGATGAACCAGGAGGGATTATCACATCGGGACCAGGGTCTAGTATTCTTCTACAAGTTGTGCTAAATCTGTGTGTCTCTTCCAAGGTGAAGGTTTCGTGTGATTATTCATGACCCTCAAGGGTTAGACAATTAGTAGAAATGAGACTTCGTAGAATCCAACCAAAATGGTGATGTAGACGTGGCTTCTTGGTGTCTGTGGTTGGTGGTCAGGTGAGACAAGATTTGAGGGGGAGGCACCATCATGTCAGTGCAGCACCAGGCAAGTTTCCAAGCCCAGTGCCCCAGGTAATCGGCCTCTAAGCAATGAATCTGCCATGTAAGTACTCTATCAACTGGACCAGGTTCCAAAGATGAGTTTATAAGTGTGATTACTGAGACATGCAAAGAGCTCTCCCATATTATTGAAATACTCAGTTTAGTAGTTTCAAGGGCTATTGACTTTTCACCTCAAAACCATGAATGGTCATTATAACAAAGCATTTGTGGGGGCATTTTCTTGGAAAAATCTCTCGCTTAAGTTTGTAAACTGTGTTTGCCATAGGAGGTTCACTCACCAACACTAGGAGAATTTACTCACTGACAAATTCATTGGACTAGTTCAAGTTAACACATCTGGTGTAAAAAGATAGGAAAAAATCTTTTAGAATATCTCTACATAAACTTCTTTTGTAAGCCAAATACAATGACACTAACAAAGTAACTTTCAAATGCAATAAGGATCAGGGCAAGATGGTGTCAATAGCATTGTTTTCCAACTTCCTGAAATCCCTTAAAAAACAAGCAGAGTAACTAGGAGAGAAAAAGAAGAGTATAGAAAGTAAAAACATTTAAAAAAGAAGAAAAATATCAAAATGATTTAAGAGAAAGTGATGGATATAGAAGACAGGCAAAGAAGATCCAACATATGCATAATAAAAGCCCCACCCAGAAAAAGTAAGGTAATGCAGAAGGACAAATATAAGCAACTATTAAAGAAAACTTTCCTGAAAACAAACATACAAACAAAATGACTTGAGCCTGTGTAAAGGGGACAAAATGTGCCTGGGACACATGACCAGAACAGTCAACTCTAAGACACAGTCTGTTAAAACTATTAGACTTAAGAAACCCTTTTGGCATAAGGCAAAGTGACCAAGTAACGTATATGGCATTAGACCTTTACGTAATACTTTTGATTTAAAATACAATGGAGTAAATGCAGTAACAGATACCTACGAAAGAAAATATGAGCCAACAATTCATTATTTGGCCAAAGTGACCTTTTTGCTACTGAACCTAACTGGCCACCACATTACCCTGTTCTATTTTCTCTGTAGGATTTTGCATGTTTCAAGCTTTTTGTTCATCTTTTCCCTGAATGAATGTTGCATGAGAGCAAGGCTTGTTCTGTTAGCTGCTATATCTGCAGCATCCAGTACAATTCATGGTGGCGGTCAAAGGTTTCATAAACCCAAGACTTTTGCACAAGGACTGTCTTAGTGCAGGCGGCTATAACAGAACACAAGAGATTGGGTGGCTTGAACAACAGATCTTTCTTTCTCACAGTTCTTCAGGCTGGGAAGTTGGAGGTCAAGGTGCTAACAGATTTGGTGTGTGGTGAAGGCACACCTCCTGGTGTGAAGACAAGCATCTTCTCACTGTGTCCTCACATGGCCTTTCCTAGGTGCGTTTGCATGGAGAAATCTTTCCTCTTCTTATGAGAGCACTAATGCCATCACGAGAACCCTACCTCATGTCCACATCCAGCCCTAATCACTTCCAAAAGGCCCCACCTCCAAATACACACACTGGGAATTAGGGCATCAACATGTGAATTTGGAGTGGGACACAAACAAAAATTTTCCCCTTCCTTGGCCTAAAATGAGGCAACCAGCTGAGCTCTGATGTTCCTCCTGCTTTGACATTCTGTCTAGGAAGAGCCCCTACTAACCAAACTCTTGCACTACCAAGCACTGTACAAGGCGATGGGGTTAAAATGATAGGAGACTCAAATGCTGTCATGTGTGGTGCCCAATTCCTGTCCAGTGCTGGGTAGAAAGACTGGGACAGAGAATGTAAAATAGGAGAAATGGTATTTTCCTTATACAACTCTTACCAGATACTTGACAACCTATGCATGCTATTACCTTCTCTGTGATGAAGCTATGGACTGAAGTCAGACGTAAGTGGGGAGGAGCAGTATTTCATACAGAATGGATTCCTTTTATGGGGAGGCATCCCTTTGTACCATCTGAGGGCCTGCTCAGAAGGTAGAGGTGAGGCAGCTAATCTTGAGAAGGAAACAGGAGGGACCGAGCACAGGGTGGGCTGGGCTGTGACTGCAGGTCATGAGAGGTGGGAAAGTGGCTCTGGTTGGGGACTGGGTGGCTGGGGACAGTTTCAGGGAGGAGAGACTCCTGCTGGAATTGGAAGTACCCATGTAAGAACAGCCTGGTGAGTGCCAGAGTAGGGAAGAGGCAGCTGGCTGGGTGAGGAGGGCAGGACCAGTCAGAGGGGATCTTGAATACCAGGAGTTGCTGAACAAGACTTTGAAGTCACTTATTCCAGTGGTTCTCACACCGTGCCTCCGAGAACACTAGGGTTTTAAACATTTGGATTATATGGGAAAAAATTCCAGTCTAATCTCCAAAGTAAAAAAGCTATGCTAAATTCATGAGTATTCTTCCCCTTTCAGGTTTTCTTATTTGGTGACTGCCTGTTCTCACTTCTCTCCCCCAGAATCTAGGTCAAGGACAAAACTGGTTCAGCACAAAGTTAGGTGAACTGTCTTACATTTAATTAATCCATAATACAAAGTGTTCATGCTACATACAACCTCATAACATCCAGGAGTGTGGGCACGTATAAAAGGGGGGACTTCCAACCTCTGTCCTATGGGGGGCTGCCCGAGGGCTCGTCTATAGTGCCTGATCCCCTGGCCTCCTGCTAGGTCAGGGGTTGTGGACCCTGGACCATCAGGCTTCCGAGTGCTAAGCACAGAGCAGGGCTCCTCCCAGGCCTTCCAGTGAGCTGCACGTGAACCTGCTCGACGGGTGGGACTTTTGCAGACATGGCCATGTGCAGGCATGCACCACGTGAGAGCTGATACAGGGGCTCGGAGGTCTGGCCTGGGCTCAGGCGAGCAGGCCCATTGCCTTGCAGCCCGAGGTTCACGGAGCTGAGTGAAGAGAATGAGAGGCAGCCCTGTGTGTGTAGCACGTGACATTAGTTGCTGGGAGGGACAGAACAGAGAGAGGCCAAAAACCACCAGGCAGCTGAGAAAACCAGAGACACAGGTATAGCCTGGGTACTTGGAGAAAGCTACACGGACCCGGGTGCTCTCAGGTGCCAATCTGCCAGGGAGGCTGGGGGGTGCAGGCAGGTTCCAGCAGGCCCTGTGTAGGGCTCATCCCCTGCCTATTTCCTCCCGGCCCAGGTTCGGCAGAGCAGAGCAACAGGGCTGGTAAAAAGGGGAAACAGAAGCACAAACATCCCTGCTGCAGGCCAGCAGGACTGGGGCTCAGGGAGACGGGGACCGCAGGACCTGGGACAAGACAAGAACAAAAGAAGACCGAGTCAAAGGAAAGGGACAATCTGGTGAGGGTGAGGGGCAGGGTGGAGGGTAGTGGGAGCGGAGCTGCTGGGGTGAGTGTGGCCGGGGAGCTTGGTGGTCAGGGCTGGTCCCCAGAGGTGAGGCCTGGGTCTGAGCCAGGGCAGGTTAGAAATGGAGCAGGTGGGTTGGTGTCAGAAACCCTGGATTGGAAACCTGCCTCCGTGATCTGGACAAACCATTGTACCGCCTCAAACTTAGCCCTGGGGACCTTGGAGGGCAGCAGAGTGGGGTGGAGGTCAGCACCGCCCTCATGCAGGAGGGGTGCTCCTCCTTTCTGACCCAGCCACCCTGGACTCAGGCGTCGGGCCCCAAAGGTGCTCACCTCATCACTGTACTACGGGTCTGGCAGCTGTTCAAGGACCATGTCCTCAATGCCACTGAACTAGAGAGAGAGAAGGGAATTAGAGACCGCAGCCCTGGGGGCCTCCCTCCTCTCCTGGCTCCCGGGCCTTCCACCAGCCTGGAGCAGCAGGCAGGTGGAACAGAGGGGACCCCAAGGACCCTTCTTCCACCCACCTTCAGTCCATGATGCCCACCAGAGAGGCCCTCCTATGGCTGAGGGGGTTTCAGTTAGAGACCCCAAAAGGTAGCCCAGCCATTCAGTTCTAACTTCTCTCTAATCCAGTCCTTTAAAAATCTGTAGCTATAAACTCCATTTACTATTTATTTATTTATTTATTTATTTATTTATTTATTTAGGTGCAGACACAGAGGGAGCTGATATCCTACAGAGGCCAGACATGGGAGGCAGGGAGCAGGGCCACCCGGGACGACCCGCTGGGCCTCGGGAGAAGCACACTTGCCTCGATGTGGTACACGATGCGCCAGAAGCTGGAGTCAGAGCCTCGGTACCGCCGGCCAGGGTAGAGCTGCCACATCAAAGGCAGCAGGCTCGGGGGCAGCTGGCTGGGGCGCATGGCCTCCCCACGGGGGATGTCCTCCTGACGCAGGAGCACTTGGAGGCTGCTTTCTGTCTGGAGAGACCAGGGCACACCTTCAAGGCTCCTCCAGGCGCCAATAACCAGAGTCCTTCCCACCACCTGCCCGGCTAGCTGGGCACCTGAGGTGCTGGGAACCACTGTTCCAGAAGCTCCACTCCTTAAGCCACGTGTGGTCCTCTCAGGGCCTCTGGCTGGGCCAGGGCGACCAGTACTCTCACGTGTCTAGACACCCAGACAGGGCCTCAGAGGCCCGCTTCTTCCTAGCAAACCTCTGGTTGCCAGGGTGTGCCATGGGGCCTTGAGCTGCCTTCACTTGGCAGTTTGGTGCCCGGTTCAGCTGATGTGGGCTTTTCTTTGATTTTTCTTTATTTTGTCAAACATCTCTTTTAAACAAGTATCCCAGACCCCAGAATCAGGGGACAGGCCACTTTTCCCCACCTCCACCACTGCCCCTCAATCATCATCTCTCACCTGGACCACTGTGATGACTTCCTAACTCGCCGTCTTGTTGGACGTGTGCCTCACATCAGTTCTTGGCACAGCAGCCAGGGAGCCGTCCAAGTATCATGTCGCTTCCCTCCCTGCTTGACATCCCCCAATGCCTTTGCAATGTAGGCAGAGTGAACTGAAATCTTGCCCACGGTCCACAGGCCCATGTAGCCAGGCCCGTCTCCCTCCTCTCCTGCCGTCTGTCCATCACCTTCCACCCTGCTCCAGCCACACAGGCCTCCTCACCGTTTCTGGGACATGCCACACTTCAGTGAGCTCTTGCACCTGCTGTCCTCTGCCTGATCTACGCCTTTCTTTTAGGCAGGAATCTGCTCAAATGTATGTCTTCTATAATGACAAATTTCAGCAAAACCCAACTCTGTGATCTACAGAAGAGGCACGCCTCAGACAGAGTCCCGAAAGGTTTAAATGCAACAGTGGGCAAAAGCATGGCAGGAAGATGCAAATGAAGGCTCTTGAGGGGTCTTGCCTGAAGACCCCATGCCCCACTGGCTGTTGCCTCTCATCTCACTTTAGTTCTCTGCACAGTTTACCACCACCCTCAATGACCTGGGGTCCTTTTAACCATGAGGAGAATGTCAGCTTCACAAGGAGCGAGATTTTATCACATTTGCAGCAAACCCCCACAGCCCAGAATCGTGCTTGGCCTATAAAATAGGCACTCGTGTTTGTTCAAGGACTATTTTTACAAAGTGGAAATACCTTTTCAAACTTTTCTGTCTATGCACTAAATGAAAACTCACTGTTAAAAAGTAATTCAGACCATCTGCAAGGTGTCAGTGTGGAAATCACCATTCTTACTACACACTACGTTCCTAGTATGTAGTCTTCCACACCCTTCAACCACTTTTAGTTTGCTTAGTCATCTTTTGCTTGTTGACTTAAGCAAACCTTTACATATTAAGAATCCTGGGCCTTTCTGTTACGTGGGACAAATCCTGCCCCACAGTTTGCCAATGGGTTATGTTTTGTGCAGAATTTATTATGATTATGTGAAAAACTCTGCTTTGTGGTTTGGTGCCATGTTAAAGATATTCCCCAGCTAGAGATTAAAAAATATATATTTACTTAAATTTTCTTCAAATACTTGAAATGTTAAAGGGTCTTTTTTGAGAAGAAAAAGAGTAAAAAAATGAACATAAAGTGGCAATACATAACATATCTATCAACAATTGAATCTACAAACAATTGTAAATGAACAAGAGAACAGAAACAGACTCGTAGATACAGAGAACTTTCTGTTGGTTGTCAGATGGGAGGGGTGTGGGCTGTGGGTGAAAAAGGTGAAGGGATTAAGAAGGACAAATTGGTCGTTACAGAATAGTCATGGGATGTAAAGTGCAGCGTAGGGAATATAGTCAGTAATATTCTAATAACTAGGGGTGCTGGATGGGTGTGGGATTTATTGGGGTGATCGCTTATTCAGTTATGTAATGTCTGGTCACTGGGGTGTACACCTGAAAGCAATATAATGATGTATGTCAACTGTAATTGAAAATAAAAAATGATTAAAAAAATGAAAAGTAAATATTTAACTTGATTTTTAGAAGTATGTATAGTGTATATTTTGAAATTGTAAATGACAATAAAGATGCAAATTTAGATGGTGGTTAAGAGCCTGGAATGCCCCC